CACTATACGTGTCTCACTCCTGACCTTCCTCCGTGCTCCTCACACTATACGTGTCTCACTCCTGACCTTCCTCCGTACTCCTCACACTATACGTGTCTCACCCCTGACCTTCCTCCGTGCTCCTTCACACTATACGTGTCTCACTCCTGACCTTCCTCCGTACTCCTCACACTATACGTGTCTCACTCCTGACCTTCCTCCGTACTCCTCACACTATACGTGTCTCACCCCTGACCTTCCTCCGTGCTCCTCCGCACTATACGTGTCTCACTCCTGACCTTCCTCCGTGCTCCTCCGCACTATACGTGTCTCACCCCTGACCTTCCTCCGTGCTCCTCACACTATACGTGTCTCACTCCTGACCTTCCTCCGTACTCCTCACACTATACGTGTCTCACCCCTGACCTTCCTCCGTGCTCCTTCACACTATACGTGTCTCACTCCTGACCTTCCTATACGTGTCTCACCCCTGACCTTCCTCCGTGCTCCTCCACACTATACGTGTTTCACTCCCAATTTTCCTTTTCAGGTGAAGTGGCAGAAAGATGATCTAGACAAGAACCTGAATTTCTTCTCTGTTTCTTCTGATGGCCGAGTCGTGTCCTGGACATTATTAAAGGTACATAATGAATACAATGATGCATTACAATGTAAAACACACATGTGGACCTGCTCATTATTATATCAAACACATTACGGTCTATATTAGTGGCTTCTTCAGGCCTGAGATCAGAAAAAGGAATTTTAATGGTGAGGATTAGAAGTGGTGAAAAGTTTCCAAGAAACCCCCAAGTCCAGTTTGATGTATTAATAGTGAATATCTCAGGGCTGGAAGAAAGAAAACCGACATAAAGACACAAAGATACTTCAAACAAGCAGATCAATGCTATTGGCATCTCGTGCTGCTTCTCCATCTCCCAGACTAAGCTCTGCTGTACAGGGGCAGCACCAAGCTGATACCAGGTCACGTTTAGGTTGCATTTAAAAAATACACTATATTTCCAAAAGTATTGGGCCCCTCCCCCTCCAAATCATTGGATTCAGGTGTTCCGTGAAATTTCCTGGCTACTAAATATTCCGCGGTCACCTGTTACTGGGATTATAACAAAGTGGAACCAACTGTTACATAGTTAGTCAGGTTGAAAAAAGACACAAGTCCATTGAGTTCAACCTATACAGATACGGAGAAAAAAAAACTAAACAAAAAGAGAAGAAAAGCCTAAACAGAACGCTATGCCCACAGCTACCCCCTGTTGATCCAGAGGAAGGCAAAAAAACCCCTATAAAGCATGGTTCAATTTGCTCCAACATGGGAAAAAAAATCCTTCCTGATCCCATAAGGCAATGGGATATTCCCTGGATCAACAATCTCTGATGCCTAATATACCTATAAGAACTCAATATCCAGTAATATTCTGCGCATTTAGGAATACATCACAGAGGTAACTGAGCTAGCTAGAACTACCTCCTGGGGGAGTCTATTCCACATTTTCAACTAACTCTAACTGCCTGCAGAGCCAATAGCTACAGACCTCCAAACTCCATGCGGCCTTCAGATTGGCACAACAACTGTGCATGGAGAGCTTCATGGAATGGGTTTCCATGGCCGAGCAGCTGCATCCAAGCCGCACATCACAGAGTGCAATGCAAAGCGTGGGATGCCGTGGTGTAACGCACGCCGCCACTGGACTCTAGAGAAGAGGAGACGTGTTCTCTGGAGTGACCAATCACGCTTCTCTGCCTGGCAATCCGATGGGCGTGTCTGGGTTTGGCGGTTGCCAGTGGAACGGTACTTGCCAGACTGCATTGTGCCAAGTGCAAAGTTTGGTGGAGGGGGGATTATGGGGGGGCGGTGTTTTCCAGGGGTTGGGCTTGGCCCCTTAGTTCCAGTGATGGGAACTCTTAAGGCATCAGCACACCAAGACATTCTGGACAATTTCATGCTCCCAACTTTGTGGGAACAGTTTGGGGACGGCCCCTTCCTGTTCTAACATGACTGCGCACCAGTGCACAAAGCAAGGTCCATAAAGACATGGGTGAGGGAGTTTGGGGTGGAGGAACGTGACTGGCCGCACAGAGTCCTGACCTCAGCCCCATAGAACACCTTTGGAATGAATTAGAGCGGAGACTGCGAGCCCCTCCTCCAACATCAGTACCTGACCTCACAAATGTCCAACATTCCCATAGACACACTCCTAAACCTTGTGGACGCCTTTCCAGAAGAGTTGAAGCTGTTATAGCGGCAAAGGGCGAAGCCAACCCAATACTGAACCCTACGGAATAAGACTGGGATGCCAGTAAAGTTCATGTGCATGTAAAGGCGTCCCAATACGTTTGGCAATATGGTGTATATTCAATGATGTATCAATGATTACAGATCTGCATTCATTTGTGTCTTATATATCTGCCCAAAGTTGAGGTTTACCAGTTTTAGATGACATAGGCCGGGATGATCAGCGCGATCCCATACTGGTTGTATGTATGTATGTATGTATAATACGTGTGATATGAATAGGATTTCATATGACTAGAAAGATTTTATAGCCACATCTGGTGACAGCAGACACGGCCAGTGTACGGTCCGCAGTCCGTGAGCTCTGTCAGGGGTACAGAAGTCAATGCCATGGGGGTGACTCGTATGTCCTGTGCCTGCAGAATGAGCTGGTTCACACAGACATCATCCGGCTGTCGGTGGAGGAATCTGTGGAGATCGGGGTGGAGGGTCTCCAGCTGCAGACAAATGGTAAGAGGCCTCAGTTCTATAATAATTACCATGACTGGGAAACTCCTTGTGTTTATATACAAGCGTGTCTGCCTTCAAGGACTGCCAGCAGCTGGACGCTGCGCTGCTACCCTGCTAGTTACTGGCTGTATAGTGCTAGTTATCATTACTCTCTGTATATCACCAGTGTACTGCTACTGGCATTGACCTCCCATACACTGCTATTCACTGTCAGTGTCTGTACATCGGTGCCTACTGTCACTGACTGCAGTTATTAGGTACTGAACCATCACCCGTGTACCACTAGTATGTGCAACCATCATAGGAATGGGATGATTGACGGCCAGTTTAAAACTGCCTGGGGGGGGGCAGTTTTATGTATGGGGGGCACCTACTGACAATAGGCTCCGTTCACAAATCTACAACAGGATAAGGATACTTATTTTCTAAAAAAGTGACAGTTATTTTTAGTTGAGTCCCATGAGATTTGAAACTTTTACTCGCATGACCAGGACCAGCAATAGGGGTATACAGGCAGCCCTTCCGTATGTAGCCTGGCCCCATCAGGTCAGCAAGGCCCCTACCAGAACTCCCTGCATAGACTGTATGCATCTCACACCACAGTGCTGAGGATGTTTGTTCCCTCCGAGCTGCCATTCTCTCTGAGCCAGCAGTGTAGAGATTTGTGGGCTGGGGTTGTGGATGGAGTCCTGTCAGGTAGGCTGTACGAAGCCCTATGATGTCTAATGGGGGCCCTGCAGGTGGCTTATAATAAAGATCTTCATCCTTGTGTAAAATTTTGTGAATTGAGACCAATTCCTGCTAGGAGACCTCGCATATCCTAGAATCCATTCCGATGTCTGGTGCCCCGCATCCTCAAGCTGTGAGTGACGGCAACTTCCGAGTCCCGTCACTTCTCCACACTATTTATATACAAATGTATTGAAGCTGCACCACGCTGATCACAAAATCCCCTACAGATTCTGCAATTAAGCCTCAGTAGGTAAAACGCGTCAGTTAGAGGACATGGGTGGAGTGTCTCTGTCCCTGCAGACAGAAGAATGTTGTACCTGTACTATAAAGCTATGGAGGGTTGTGTAGTGCCCATCTGCGATATAGAGCTATGGGGGGTTGAGTTTACTCTGCCTCCTCTACACCGTGCACCTCTGCCCCCTCTACTCTCACCGTGCACCTCTGCCCCCTCTACTCTCACCGTGCACCTCCTCCCACCGTGCGCCTCTGCCCCCTCTACTCTCACCGTGCACCTCTGCCCCTTCCTCTCCCTCTGTTCACCTCCCTGGGACACGTCTAATCTAATGCAGCCATCACATCTAAGGTCTGGTAAGCGGCTGGATATAGGACATTTTTGTTCTTGGGTTTGGATACAATTCCCCTAAACCTGCGTGTAAGGGACCCCGGCTGTGACTCTGATCAGTGTATGGGAGCTGTCGGTTCCCTCCAGGTCTGTGTAGCTTCCTCCTGTGTGTGTTGTTGGTGAGACGGATCGGCACGGTGAGAAGTCTGACATCAGCTGGAGATGGAGACGGATCAATGTAAACATTCCGGTATAAAGTGATATTTCCTGTCTGCAGGCTGCGGAACATCCTTCGATTTCCATAGACAGATCGATCATCTCTACCTGGTGGGGACGGAGGAAGGAAAGATTCACAAGGTGAGAAGCAAACGTAGACTGAGGGGTGCCGGGGACAGAGGGGTGCCGGAGACGAGAGGGGGTGCCGGAGTCGAGAGGGGTGCCGGAGACGAGAGGGGTGCCGGAGACGAGAGGGGGTGCCGGAGTCGAGAGGGGTGCCGGAGACGAGAGGGGTGCCGGAGACGAGAGGGGGTGCTGGAAACGAGAGGGGGTGCCGGAGACAGAGGGGTG